TTGGTAAATTTTTTTTTTTAATTTTATGAACATTTTCAGGCAGTAGTAGCAATATTTTTATTATTTCAAATGTTATAGAAACCAAGGATCGTTTTATTTTTTTTTTTCAAAATTATTTTGGTATTAAAAGATGATAATTATTGACAATATTAAAACTCATAAATTGGGAGCAAAACTTTTTCTAGTAATTGAAAATTTTTAAAAAAAATCGCAGTAAATAAAAAAAATCTTTTGCGGAACTAGAAATAAATTTAAAAAAAAAATTACTATAAATACAAGATATTATATGTCCAATCTTAAATTTTTATTAATGCGCCAAAGTAACCTTGTAATTTTATATACCTGTAATACTTTAAGCAGAATGACTATACATCCATAATACATATGTATGAAAGTAAACAATTTAGGATATTTGTTGCATTGAAAAATTCGCTTACTTCACTTTTTATTTCAAATATTTGTGAAAACAAGATTATATCTTTTATCTATTAATGTAAATACACACACCTAATATTATATAGTATAGATCTATATATTTAGAGAGCGAGAGGACAGAAACAGATAATTGGTTATTGATGCTTAATTATAATTGATAATCTGCTTCGAATATTTCTCTCTGTTAGATACATTGAACATGCAACTCATTCTGATTTTAAATATGAAATATCACTGCTTTAATTAATTAATCAGGTGTTTTATCGGCCATCATCATAAATATGGTCTTGAGAGAAGGAATAATTTGGTCCACGCGTTAATACTTTTAGATCATAAACTTTAATCTTTTTTTATTCCTTTAAACTCCGTTTATCTGCCTAAAAATTATTTCTGATTTTGAGTCATTCGGAGTCACTGGAAGAGAGTCAACTTACATCAAGTTATAATTTTGAAACTAGCAAACCATATAGTCCGTTGAAACTAAAGCTGAAACAGATTAATTTTACTTATAATCTAGCTTTAACAACAAAACCGATATTAGATGTATATTTTCTTTCTTAAATATTCTATTTTGATTATCTAAGCTAGGAATTAAATTACCTTATTAAAAGCGCAAAAAATTTAAATTTAAGAAAAACTTTCAAAAATATTTTTAGAAGTTAGTATTTATATCCGCTCGTGCTTTTTGGTCAGTAGTTTTCCATTTAGCAAATTCATCACCACCAGGTTCTGGTTTCGGAATTTTCCCAGTTACATAGTCCCAATGATCATTTTTAATCAGTATTGCTTCCATTTGCAACTTCCACGTGTCAAAGTTGTCCTTGTTTAGCTTTTCAATTGACACTGTATTAGTCGTCGTCATTTTCATTTCAGTCGACGCAGCTTGGCTTGCCGAAAGAATTTAACAATGGTGGTTGAACTGCACAGTTAAGCGCTGTCTGGGCCCCTAACCTATGAAGAATTAAATAACGTCTTCCACTGGGCTTTGCAATTCTCGCTTACATGCAATACTCACCATTTATTTTGGCTAACTACCTAGAAAAGTATTAAGCAGCAGAGAACTTGCTATCACGCGCATGCGCTAGGGGAATCGACGGCGGTTGCCAACAGGAAAATAACGAATTTTTTAATTTGTTAGTTGTAAAGCATATTGATATACACCATACAGAAAGATTCAGTCACTGATTTATAAATTTCTGGGAAGGAAAGGTTGCAGATTAACAAATCGGAATGATACAGGCATGAGGCGTCTGAAGCACCACAAGTTTGTCTAAACCTAGAAGATCAAGCTTGGTTTTTTTGTTCCTTGGTTTGTAAGACAACCGAATTTAATATGTCTTGATTACTTTTTTCTGGATTACAACAAGGATTGGAAAACAAAGGACATCCCCATTGAAAGTTATGTGGACCTTATATCTAGCATTTCTGCAACTGCTTTGGAAGATTGAGATATGCAAGGGATTTTCCAAAATGTACGTGATTCCATGCGCCTACGATATAAAGCGCATGTTTCAGCTCATGGTTGCACTTTTGAACATCTTTTGTAATAACAGTACATTTCGAAAATGTAAGTAATTTGTTCTCTTACATGCCGTTCTATAATCTTTCATTCCTTTTCAAGAAAGCGTCTAAAACCCTCCATTGCTATCTGAGTCCAATTCGCCTTTGTGTAACCTTCTACCAGAAATTGGTACAGGCTTAGCTGAACAATTCTATATGTGTTCGCAGTCTCATAGTTTTTTTTTTTTTTTTTTTTTTTTTTAGTTCAACACTACAGGTTGAAGACTCGGATGCTTTTTACTTCTTCTGTCATTGTTTTCATGGTTTCAAGGCCCAGGTTTCAAGTTGTCAATTGCGGGTCGTTTTTTATGTGAACCGTTCTTTTTGCAAGGTACCATTTTAGTTCATGTGACAGAATGCTTATGTTTGAATCTTTGCATTTTGCGTAACAATAAGCTGTTAAATGAAAACTATCAGTTATATTAACTGTTTGTTTACCGTAATACATAATAAGCGTTTTTAAGAAAAAGTTATTAATTTCAAAGTAAATACTATGTAAGGATTATGTTAATTTTATTAACAGTTAAATTTTAAGTTAAAGTTCCTTTCCTGTCAAATTCTTAACTTCAACTTACTACTTCCGGCCAGAACGTAGTTTGGAATCTTTCTGAATACTTAATGAGGAGGAGCGGTATTTAAACCGCAAAGTCTACTTACAGAGAGAATCAGTTTCTGATCTACGCCCGTCTACCTTTTGGCTACTCTCTCTCTCAAAGCTGTTATTACGTTCGACCGTACTCAGGCCCTTGATAAGCTTCGTAGTCAAATAAAGTTAAGGGGCCAACTCGATTAGAATCTTGATAGCTTCGGCTATAGTTCTTTAGTTAATCTTTAGTTTAATTTTGTCAAGTGTCGACTTTGATTGTACACTCCAAGACGAGTTTTGTTAAATCTTATTGGAATAATAAAGGGTTAGTTACCCTCACCTCCTTGTTGTTTCTTGTTACACGAACTTAAGCGATTATTCGAAAATTAGTTCTTAAGATTCGTCACTTTCTACAGTAGCCGAGAAGTACACTATTGGGAATCTTACAACTTTAAAATCCCATATAAATTCTGCACAGTGATAGTTTTTGTTTAAAGAGACTCAATATACTTCTATAAATCATATTTTTCAAGAAAAATTATCACGTCGTATACGGCGCATGGAAACCACATTTAAACTTTAAAAACACGAAAGCTGATTAAATAAATTATGGCGGTAATTTAATAAAAATCGTACATCTGCCGAAGCATTAATTTGGGGTATTTCCGAACTTCACGAACGGAACACATTTAGCCTGCGTAAGGTTACTATTATTTTAGGTTCAAGATGCTTAATAGGAAAGGATGCTGATAATTCTCATACAGTAAATGCAAGAAACCATAAATATCTAATGTGACTATACTAAGAATATTACTAAATGATGTTTAAACGCACTCCTATTCGTCAGTTTTTAGTTTTAATCAGCATATACATACAAAAAGTTAATTATATTTGTATTGGATACGACTTCGTAATTTTTCATTCACTATAATTTCTTCCAAACTTATGGGTCTCAGAGGTAATTTCCTGAACCGAATTTTATTACCTTACAGCAAAGAATAATACTTATGACAAAGTTTATAAGGTATTTACAAGAAACCTGCAATTTATAGTTTGACAAAAGTGACATAAATGTTATACTTTTGCATCATATTATAGCAAAATATTTTGTCATAGCTCATGACCTAACCTCGTATAATCTCAAAGTACTTCTAATACACGGTTCCAAATGAAATTGCAACGCTTAATTTCACTGATTTTCTACGACTAACTGGAACGATTTCCGTGGCTAAACGTAATTATTTATTTATCAAGGAAATGAAAGAACTTTATACATTTACTGTAAAATACAAAATAATTATAAAGAACATTATAAAAGATAATTTATCTTGAGCATTATTGTAAAGCAAATGAAACAAATACATTATTCAATCTGCCCATAAACGTTTTACCTGACCTTTATTTTCGCACGTTGGAGGTATAAATACTCTTCCCATTAGTTTTAAATGACAAAAATATTCATATTTTGACATTCTGTAATTAAAAAAAATATGTTGTAAACAAACAACACATAATTTTCTTGTAGGACTTATTATTATGTTATACATATTTTTGCTTCCCTTCATTTAATCTTATTTCCTCGTATTATTCTAACTTCAATAACCGATCAAGGCAAGCTGAAAATGACATCATAAATTTCAAATTTTGAAATTAAATATCCTGGTTAATTTTTGTCATTCCGGGGTCAAACTTCTTACAATTTTATTTTTTCATAACGAGTATACGACTTTCCCAAATATAAGAAACGGGAGACCGCATTAAAAGTTAGATTTGCTATTTGTCGAAAATTAATTATTTTTTTTTAATTTGACATTACACCAAAACATGAATATTTTCGTCATTTAAAACACTTCTGTAATGGGCAGTATATAACTACAACCAACAATTGTGAGAAATACCAGGTAAGTACTAAGCCGAGTAAGGGGTTGGGTGTATATATATATATATATATTTATATACCCAACCCCTTACTCGGCTTAGTACTCAGTGGGCGAATCCATTTTAAAATTTACTGTAGCTCTTCTCTGTACGCACTGAAAAAGGGGGAAATTTTAAATTTTCAGAAGCTAGCTCTAAAGTTCTAGAAGAAAAATATCAGAGGAAATATGATAAGACAATGTACGTTGTTTTGCATAATATTACTTAATAACTTCCGCATTTAAAAATTCGAATAATTAAATGATTAAATAATCCCAGGGTCCAGGCTTTGATAAAATTCATGAACTTGATCTAATGTTATTTTCAAAGAACCGATATAAATAACAACAAAAAAATTCATCCAAAGTATTTGGAAGTCCTAATCTTAAAATTCTTAAAAAAGCCCTTTAAAAGCGTTCTGTTTCAGTCTCTAGTTATCCAATAGTTGGAGAACTTAAAAGTATTAATAAAAAAGAAAACAATCTCTTTCTGTTGATTTCATAAAAGCATGCTGTTTCATGTACATATTTTATAAAGAGTTAATGAGATACTCTACGTTAGCAGCACTAATCCAGAACAACTGCGTTGGGGAATACTTGATGCCCGGCAAATGATCTTCGGCACCGTGATCTTTAATCCAGTGGAGATATGCCTAAAAGTAAAAAAAGAGCCATATTTACGAAACTGAAGCTTACATTAGAAGTAACTTCTTCAGCAATTATTCTTATTATATCAACTAATCTTGCTTATTGTGCGTGCAATGTAATTGACATTTAAATATCATGTCACTAAAACATTCAGTTAGAAACATTTTCAAGAGACAACCACATGACAAAACATATGAGGCGGAGTTGTGTGACAGAATGTACATTATTGACTCCGTTTACGTATGATACATTTGTGATACTATGTAATATGTTCTAAGGCGTGCTACAGGTATGGTATAAAATTAACCTCATTAGCTACATAACTGCATTCATTTAAGCTTTCTTCGTTTTGATAAAATAATGCTTTTACACATTATTTTAAAAGTATGTAAAAAAACGTTTTTATAAAGAAATAAACTCTTATTCAAAACTTACCCTCCGGGATAATTCATAGTTTTACAAACCGACAAATTGTGAAAGAATGGTAATTTCGCGAATTTAAGGAGCCGCGTGATATCGTAATACTCTTTTTAGTCCAAAGGGATTTGAATCCCGAAGGACTATTAGTTTCGTTTTGGCATTTTGCGTCGGACGGATAAATGTCGGTTCACTTTTCAAACTGTTGCCCTAAAATGTTAGAGTCCTGCATTATATTTGAAGAAATTAAATAATGAAAATCTGCATAAATGTATGTATATTTCTCGTATTGTGATAAAAACAACGGTACATAGAGTCATCGAATTTTGAATAACGTAATCCTCCAACGAATATGAGCATGTGGAAGACCAAATTTGAAATTTGAAATTTGTTTTATGATCGATTTCCTATTTTTTAAAACTTTGACGAATTTTTGATTAACAAACTCAAGGATTTCAAAGCGAGCAATGGCAACGTTGTGCAGAAAAAAACATTTTTATCTCCAGCGCGTGAGTCTCTGTATCGGAAATTCTAAAGATATGCTCGTTTTAAAACTATTTTGCGATATTGCTGTTGCACTGGATCTTATGGTTTAAGTGCGAGGAACATGATATTTAATAAAGAAAGGTAACACACAAAATGTTAAAAAACGCCCCTTTGGACGTAATTTAAAATCTGAAACATTTCAGATTTTTTTTTTTTTTTTTTTTTTAGTCCAAAGGGATTTGAAGTCCCGAAGGACTATTGCTTTCGTTTTGGCATTTTGCGTCGGACTCATAAACGTCGGTTCACTTTTCAAACTGTTGCCACAAAATGTTAGAGTCCTGCATTATATTTGAAGAAATTAAATAATGAAAAATCTGCATAAATGATTGTCTATTTCTCGCATTGTGATAAAACAATGGTACATAGAGCCATCGAATTTTGAATGAAGACGAAATCCTACTGCGAATATGGGCATCTGAAATCCCAAATTTGGAATTTGTTTTATTATAGATTTTATTTTTTAAAACTTTAACGAATTTTTGATTTACAAACTCAATGCTTTAAAAGCGAGAAATGGCGACGTTATATAGAAAAAAAATACTTTTATCTCCAGCTCGCGTGAGACTGTGTATATCGGAAATTCTAAAGATATGCTTAATTTTAACATTATTTTGCGATATTGCTCTTGAACTAAATTTTATGGTTGTAAGTGCGCAAAGAACATGATATTTAATAAATAAAGGTAACACTCAAAACGTTAAAAAAACGCACCTTAGGACGTAATTTAAAATCTGAAAAATTTCAGAGTTTTTTTTTTTTTTTTAGTTTAAACATTGTAAACAAAGGATAACAATTTTTAATTTACCGAAAAGTGAGGACGATGCCGTATCGTTTATCCAGGAAAAGGATATATTACTCCGCAATGGAATATGCGTAAAACGGGCATGAAATGAAGTACATGAAGGTGCAATGTGAAAAACTGTAAGGGAAAAAAAAAAAAAAAAAAAAAAAAAAGAGCATTCGATACGACAACTAGTTTATTGGTTCTAAAATACAGCGCTGCGTTTCTTTGTTGGGCAGAGGAACTAACGTCGCTGAAGTGGTGCGATAAACACGGCAGAACCTGAAAAAATATCACGATTGACTGGAACAATTTTATGCGAGATATTTGTTCGCTAGATTTACTTCGACAACCTAAAGGACTACCCCCTTGACTTGGTATTTTGTCATGGCAGTAACACTCTGGGAGAACAATAATTTTGAACTTTAATCCAGAACCCGAGGGAAGATCGCTTATAGGGTCGAACCATGGAGGTAGAAAGTAAGAAGGAAAGGCCCTAGCCAGTTCCCTCCCCCCATACACTGCTTTGAAGCACTGGCGATCCCTTCATGGTGACCAAAACATTCAGTGCCTTATCATTAAGATCAATGGATTTTGACACGATCGGATGTAAGTATTTCTTAATTACTTCGTAAATGGTGTAAGATGGAGTAGCCTTAACCGGTTTTCCCTATACCCTGCTCTGAAGCACTGGCGATCCCTACGTGGTGACCAAAACATTGGGTAATTTACCATTAAGTTCAATGGGTTTTGACACGATCGGATGTTAATATTTTGTAATTACATCGTAAATATACATATAAAAGTATATATTTTCTTTTTCTACAGTACTTCAGAGTCCTAAATATATGAAAAGAATACATTTTTAAACAACATTTCATTCTGAATAGAATTAAATGCTATACTTTTCACAGAACAGTTTGCTCAGATTGGTTTAATTTGAATGAAATATTTTCACAAGTTTTCGTTAATTACATTAGAAAAAAAACATTAAGGTAAGTCGATTTTATTCGGTTAAGGATTACAAAAATTAAGATCAAAGTTTATTGTATTATTAATATTAAAATCATGCATTATTTCTTTCTATTTATAGAGCTTCTTCCTAAAATACTTTCTCAAATATGACATGATGTTTTAGCTTCTGAAGCATCTTTTAAATTGAAAAATATAAGTTAATTTAAAATTAAAGCTCTATTCGGTCCATTTCAAATTAGAGCATCTTTTATTTTAATAGCGAAATACCTTAAATAGTACTTAACTTTCTCTGAATATTTCTGAAAGAGAATAAGATAAGGATTTTTTAAAAAATTATTATTTAAAACATGTAACTGAGTTATTTGTAACAATTTATAGAAATTGTGCAATAAGGGCATCACCGTCTTCTCTGACTGCAGATCAGCATTGCAAGCGATCCAGAAGGGCAAATGTCAACTCAGTCATCAGATCATTGAGCTCACAAACAAAATCATTGCTGCGCAAAGATCCTGCATCTTACAATGGATACCGGCTCATGTAAATATTTTTGGCAATGAGAAGGCCGATGAGCTTGCAAAGGCATCCCGTGATTCTCCTCAGCCATCCATCTGCCTAACCCTCGTTGATGCCAATGCAGTTGCCAGCCAAAAACTAATCGGTCAAGTTAAAGAAAACTCAATCCCGGAATTGAACTGTGACAGAGCCATATCGACTATCATAACAAGATTTAGGACAAATCACTGAAAATGGCTGAGGATTTTTGCAGACGGACAGCGTAGTTACACCAACATTTGTCCTCATTGCCCAGATGACATCCCACTGTCTCCCCATCACATCTTCAGCCGCCCAGCAATCCAGGCCAGACTGCTTAACACCGGCATTGAAAACCCAGTGGACCTACTTTATACTGATAGAGCTGCCGAGGTCGCAAAAGCTGTCTTTGACAGCTTCGAAGCTATATAATTGCACCTTTGTCATAGATACAACATCATCATCAGCTAAGTTATTATATAATGTAAGGGGAATAATTCTTTTAATTATACTTATCAGATTTTTTACACTTAATTTCAACAATACATATTCCAAAACTCTTCTTTATTACTTAAGTATGCATCTCATAGAATTTGCTTTACAATACCTTTTAACAGATTGCTTTCCAGTACGAACAATTCTTGATTAAATAATTTTATAACGTATTCATCAACAGGATTTCAATTTATGTTTACAATTCAATGCTAAGTTTATTATATATTTAGATAATATTTATAATCATTATAAATTTAGATACATTATTTAATAATTAGATTTCTTCACAGTAACTTTCATTTTTTTATGAATGAATAAATCCTTCATTTAAAATACATTTATAAATAATTTAATAAATATTTACGTATTTTATTAAAGGCAGATACATGCTTTTTGCAAGCACATGCATAAATACCCATACATATTTCATATTTTTCATTTCAGGCATGTGCAAATCTTTGATTTCTGTGCATTCACTACATTTTTCGAGTAAAGTAATTTACACTAATTTAACACATACCGGAAAGTTTTACATAAGAAATATGTATAAATATAATTTGAATGAAAATTATATGCATTATTTTTAATACCCAATCAAAAGGAAGTTTTTCTTCAAAATTCCTCCACGTTGGCATCTCTCCCTTTAGGCAGATAGCCCTTTCATGCCTTATTCTATTTAATAAAAACTTTACCTGACCTATGTGCCTAATTACAAATATTTTAACATGCATAATTTTATATTTACATTTAGCCATCAAGTTTCAAACTTTTGACTTAAAATACGTTTTAGGGTACATTCATCATCAAATTCAAATCTAGTAAATATAACCTGACAGAGCACTCAATACCTCTTTTATCGATTTTACACAGGTTAATAATTCTCTGATAATATAATAAATAATAATAATATAATAAATAAAATAACTAAGTAAAACGTGTAGAGCCCAAGGTGATTATTTTTCAGATATATAAAAATAAAATGATGAGTTTAATAAATGTAAAATAATATATATAAAATAAATGATGAGTTATGAGCAACAATAAAGCCTCTCCTCTAAAAATTTTTAAAAAGTACATGTTACAATTATATATGTATGTGAAAAAAATTGATTTTTTGTAAAACATTTTGGCGTTTGGAACATAAAATAAAAGTAGCGAATACTCTATCAAGGGTATCCAAAGATGTATACAATTTTAAAAGTACATTCTTTAAGCATCAAATTTTTGCTAAAATATATATTTTTGTAGTTCAACAGCTTAGAATTTTATAAAACAAATTCATAATCAAACTCGCTGTTGTTAGTTAACGAAAAATAACCAAGATGTGATTTTCGCGTAAATGTCACTAAACTATAGAAATTGCTATTATCCATCGCACTATGAATGTTTCTTTCATGTAAAAGTGTTCCGTTTTTCGATTTATATGGAACTGTCGTGTGTCGAAATACTATCAGAGCACTGTCAAGTGAGCTTCGGAATGTAAACAAAAAACACCCCATCTGGTGACCGAAGCTTCGAAGCAGTGCTTCACTTCTTTGTGCCGGTTTGGCCACTTCTTCCTTTCTTACCTCCATATTCTGCGCTGTAGATTTGAGGCACCCGCTGTGTAGCAAGCTGAGTTTATTTAAATTTGTTCTAAGCATGGAGGTAGAAAGTAAAAATTCGAGAAGAAACCAGTACAGAAACCAAAGATGACTATCTCTAAAGCAGATGATTTCCCTCAACTTAGTTCATCCGAAAAACCTAAAGAAAAACCCGCAAGAAGCCTCTACAGTGAGAAAGCTCAATCAAGTAAAGCTATTCCAGAAGAATTCAACGAAGCAGTCGCTTGGCTCCGAGATGAAAATGTTCAAAAATTCCTAGGAACTATTATTCAGCATATCGACAATATCAAAAAAGAAAAGACTACCCTCGAAAAATTAACAGCAGGATTCAAAGCAGCCATGTGCCTAGTCCAGATCGCAGAAAATGAAGACTAGATGTTTATTTTTCCCATTACGCATGCAGAAATTAACTGGACTTATTTCATTTTCAAAAATTTCTCTTATTTCACATAACAGCTCATCTGTTTTCAAGCAGCATCTCGCGGGGTCAGTTCTTGGGAGGGTGACCTCCCACGTGATTGGCTCCGGCGAAGGATCTTCGACTATCTACAGAGAGAATTTCAGTAACTAGTGCGATGACTTTTTCCAAACTTGGATGCAGAAACAGAATGCTTGACCTCGAGGCTTTCTCCACCACGACCATTTTTTGCCTTCAGGCGCGGTGCCCATGCACCCTTGAATTAACTTAAAGTTTACGAGCGGCCAGTGGCCTACTTGATTTATTAGTTAAAACTCTTTTGAAGTTTGGACTATTATAGAAATTGACGATTCTGATTCTCATTCTGAGATAGGAAGTAAGAAGTTAAGTTATTTTTTCTCCATGGTTCTAAGAGGTGTCAGTGGACATGACCGGCCCTCACGTCTAATACGGAGATGGATGACGGGTGTCGCCTTAGTTGCATTAAAGTTACATGAAAGAGTTAAAGTTACAGTTACTACAAGTTAAAGTTAATCTAAAAAACGAATAGATGACCTTGGAAAATTGTCGAAATTGACCAGCGTTTGTTCGTGCGGCGAAAAAACAACACTGGCAGGGCATTTCCACAATAGTGGCTATTCAGAGGGTTATGCCGTGAATGTGGGGAGTGTTTTCTTGTTCATATTCCAAATGAGGAAAGCAAGCACACTGACATCAACGATTAAAGACCACGTAGTGGAAGGATCGACAATGTATTCAGAATAGTGGTGAGCCTGTAAAACAGACGAGCTTGAAATGCCTGGTTACAGCCATTTAACTGTTAATCACACATTTAATTTTGCTGAACCAGCAGCGAGTGCTCACACTCAAAATGTGAAAAGATTATGCGGCTGTGTTTTAATGGCGAAACAAAAAGCGAAGAAGCAAAGCTCGACATCATCCCGAGTCTTAGCTTTCCGAATTCACGTGGTCGAAATCTTTTGATAAAGAAGAGGCTTTTGATGCCATATTAAAATCAGTCGCGGAGATATGGCAGCCACAAACTACTATATACGAGTAATTTAAACTTAACGATAACGGGGGCCGTGAAAATCTAGCATCTTCGCTTCGTTTTGACACAATATTGTCTTCGTACATTATTTTAAAAATAAGTAAAAAAAAAAGTTTTTTTTTTTTTAAAATAAGCCCTTATCCAAAACCCGTTAAATTATTTTATCATATAGTTTCATAGGAACAAGAGATTAACTAATTCTATTTACAAAATTCATCTACAATTTCATATCACAAATAATAAAAGCGCGAGGAAGAGTGCAATTCGTTATTTGGGAGATAGTATTTTTATTATTCGGAATATAAAAATATAAATAAATTTTGTAAACAGAATTATTTAATCTCTCGCAGACTTTTATGAATTTTAAATAAAAGCTTATTTTATAAACTTTTGTAATTTATATTATTTTCATCTTTTTCAGTGTTAAAGAGATGTTGCCAATCCAATTATTCAGTTGGAAAATAGTGTTTCAACAATGAAAAATCAATCTCTAACTCACAACGATTCTATTATATCAAACGATCGAAACAATTGAGTGATTTTGGAAAATCTATCAAAAAATAAGAAATTAAGTTAAGAATTTGATACAAAATTCACTTGAGATTTTTTTTTTTTCAGGTACTACCCGACGGTGCAAACAGAAAAAAATCTTATAGTTTTAGTTTTTTGGCTAAACGAAGATGTGTGCGAAAAATAGTTTAAATATTAAATTTAAGAAATCTAAACCGAATTTAGAAAAAAAAAATCGTTCCTCTACATTGTATTGTCATCGACAAAAAATGAGTGTATGAAATATGAATTCAAAAGTGGTTAGAAATTGGTTTAAAAATCGGTAATAAACTTTCGTCCATAGCGACAAACAGCATGAATGAACTAAATAAAAGCTTATGATTAGTTTCATTCAAGCTTTAATCGGAATTAAATGAGTTATTACATAACCTCTTAAAATATTTCACAGGTGGGTATATTGGCATATGAATAATTAATGAAAAAAATTTCATAAGCTCAGTATAAATATATTACCACAAAATTACAGCAAATAAAACACAAATTTCTGCTATATTTATTATGCTATATATATTTTCTGCTATACTTATATATTTATTATGTATATATAATGTAGTGTACCGGAAAAATATAATTTCGATTGCCAATACGTTAAACAATATTTCTGTTCTCTAGAAATAAAAGTACCGGAGCCTCCCTTCAGAAGCGGAAAGATATTTTGTATTACTAAATTAAATATTCATGCGCATCGATAACTAAACACTCTTTTCCAATGGCGAGAACAATGAATGCTGGGGATTTCCAGAATATACAAAGAATTTCCGGTTCCGATAGGCATATAACTTTCGAATGGTATACATACACTTTTTTTTTTTTTTTTTTTTTCAAAATACTTCGCGAGTTATAGGTTTAAATAATCTAGCGAACGGGTTTATATTTCTTCTTGGAAAAAAGAATGGGGTTGCTTACCCTAAACGCCTCTTTGATGCCACCATTGTCAGCGATGTTCTCACCTTGCGTGTTGATGCCATTCACCTGTAAGAAGAGAATGAGAAAAAAGTTAAATTCCAAGTATTTTTGATTTGGGAAATGGCAGTCGAATGAGAGTAAGTAAGCTTCCGCAGAAATACAACAGTGAGAAAAAATATTTTTTGTTGAAACACAAAACAAAAATCTACGAAATATTTCGTGAATTGGAATTTCACGCTTTAGCTATGGGTTTGAAGTACAGAACTCGAATCTGTGATAATACACAAAGCCTGATTTTCACATAGATTCACGGTCCATTTTCAAGGGGCCTTTCAAATCTTCCTACAATATTTAAGGCATGTATCATCACAGTATTTTTCGACTAGTCGTTTGCGCTGCCAGCTACCTAAAATAGTTACCATAAAACGGGGGAAAAAACATAAAATGATTTTAGTGAATTCAGGTAGTGTAAATTCTTTAAAATATTTAATATTTATAATTAGATTATTTCGGGAAGTGGCAACACATTACTTTTAAATATAATACAGTTTGTTGATTTAAATTGAAAGATAAATATCTTTCATTTTCCCAAAATGGCAACAGTACCGGAGATAAAAATGTTTTATTTCGAACGGTGCTCCTACTGCTCGCTTTCAAATTGCTGAGTTCATAAGTCAAATATTATTTAAATTCGTACAAAATATGAAATAAGTAGGAAAAAAATTCGACATTCAAAATTCGAGTTTCGAGGTGCACATGTTCGAGTGAATGATTAAGTGAATTCAAAGTTGGTGGCTCTTGGTGCCGTGTTTTTGCACCATTCTAGGAATTTACAAACATACATATATTATATGTTAAGTGGAATGACTTTATTCAGATACATTTTAAGGCTGTGTTTAAATACTGTGCATTCTATCTATTTTATATCTGTTTTTTAGTAAGAGATATTTAGGACATACATTTGGTGCAATATTACCAACCTGAAGTTTGCGGCAGGAAACAAAAACAAACTATTCTTGTCAAGATTTTTTAGCGGAGGAAAATATCATGATTTTCAACCATTCCCCATATTTACCAGATTTGGTACATATAGATATAAAGGTCATTATTTTGAATACAGATATAAAGGTCATTGCATTGATGAAATTCCGAAAACAATAACCAGTAAGACTAGAACAATATTTCAAAAAATGGGTTCTACAGAGGAACAAAGCAGTTAAACAAACATGTCAAGCATTACTTAGATTTACGATCATTATATATTGAAGGCTGAGAAAAAAAACTGTTGTTTTTTTTTAACTTTCAGTTTTCTACATCTTAGTCCTAAACTTTGCTTATGCAGCTTATGTGTCTGATATATTGTGTATATAATACTCCAGATATAATTCAAAAACGTGGCTATGTTGAAACTGTTTTGGCTGCTCCTTGAAAACGACCACAAAATTTGAGTTCAACCATTTATTGTATGATATATTACTTTTATATTATTTTATTTTGTTTTGTTTGGCTTTAGATTCGCGTTATTCCTGTTAGCCTGTTAGAACTTAACTATTATCTCTTGATTATATCTATATATATAATGTAAAGTAAAAGTAATTATATTTAAACAGGCAAAAGATATTGAGCGAAAATGTATACAGTAATGATACTGCAGTTACTAAAATTATAAAAATAATTTTGCATTTGTTAGAATTTAAAATATACGAATCAAAATCAAAACGGAAGTGTCAGTAAAAAATGGCAAAATAAACTTTTAATAAAAGAACAAATGAACTGGAAATAAAAATATACGCGAGAAAGCTGTGTTATCACTCTTTGTCTATTAATTTGTCAAAAGGAGGTCAGCCATTGAGTAAAAACACCTCTTTACCTGTTAAGTGTAATTACTATATATATATATATATATATTGTGTGTATATGTAAGATAAAAATATGTAAATCAGCTTTATAATTTAATTTAGTAATAGCTTATTAATTCCTCATTTTTAATTTGGGTATTTCCTCTCTCTATTCTAAAAATAATAATGACATATCTGGACTGCGCCATTTCTAGATTAATCTATGCTACAGAGCTTGTGTAACGCTGATAAAGTAGTTATTTCAGAATCTTAACTCTCAGAACTGAAACCTTTCTCTTAACAGCCGGCCATATTGGATAAATGCGCATTTCTCTTGTATTTCTGTTGCTGCTTGAACGTCATTTCGTTGCGCCCTCTTCCTATTACAACAGTAGTCAAAAGTGTAAATGTTCTGGAAATAGGCATGATTAGAGAGCCAAGTGAACTGTGGCCACAAATATAAATTTAAATAAAAATGGAATTTAATCTGCCTCAACTGCCAAGTTTTCTATTCATTATGAACTAGTATTCTACGCAATCAAAATTCTTCCTCTTTAATATGCCATCTAGTGTTGCGCAATCAGTATTTCTACGTTACTGCATCTCGGTGTTCCTGCATCAGTTTTTCCAGATTTGTTTTTATCACACACATATGTGAGATTTCTTTTATATAACCAGCTTCACAAAACATGAATTGCAAGATAAAAGAATAATTTATAAAATTTTTGAAAACACTATTTGAAACTCAGATCTTTTAAAGAATTTCTTCTAAAACGATAAATCAGAGATTTCAGCATAGTGTTTTATCCATTCTTACCTGAAGTCCCACTTCGTCGACAGAGTAGTTGCCATATTGGTCAATGATACATTGTGCCCTCTCTCGGAATGTGGTGTCAGTTTCAGGTTCCCACCAATTAACATTGTTGCCATCCTTATCAAACTGGCGACCTATGAAAATTGAAAAAAGTTACTCAAGGTTTTATGGCAATTCTTATGCTTAATCAAAACATAACAATTCTAAGAAAAATGTAACAGAATAGTTCAGTTCCCTACGTAGATAATTTTTGTTATTTTAAATGTAATTATAAACATATCACAACACAATTTATTACTTCCTGTGCAATCAAATTAAGTAAAGAATAAAATTTAACATTTTAACTTTTAAACTATGAAGTTAGTTTTAGACAGCCAGTTTAATAAAATTCGTCACCGATTTACTTCTTTGCCCAAAAAAGACAGACATCGGCATTTTTAACAGGGAAACGTGTATTGAGCATGATTTGACCGACCACGAAATAGAGTTCTACTAATGAAAAATCTAAGAAATGGCGTCGACTTTTGTAAACTTACTGAAGTATTTTTATTTGAACTAATTGTTATTTAATTACTACGAAAATAAAATATTAAAAAGAACTACAATATTTTTCATTTAAAATGATACATTAGTATTAAATTACAATTTACAAGGATTAAGAGGTATAAATGTCCAGAAGTTTATGTCTCTCATTTTCGATTAGGTTATTTGAATAGAACAATGCATACGAAGGCTTTTTGCATAAGGGGAAGTATACTTTGGTAAGCGACTAGAATATAGAAATAGGCTTTCATGGAAAAGAAAACTTGGTTCATTTTCGCTTTACACATGTGGAAAACCACGAAAGCCAAATATGCAGCCAGCTGATTCCATTGTATCGAACACGTGTCAAGCTCCCAACCTTGGGCAACAGCTACAATTTCAGTCATGCAATTGATTACGGAATTGCTAAACAATTTAATTGCCTAAATTGGTTATATTTCTGTAACTTAACTACGGCTTGTAATAAAATCGATGAGAATTACAGAAACTTGTGCTTCCCCCCCCCCAGTTTCTCCAAAAGAGGAGAAAAAACAAGATTCTGAGTTAAAATATGTAAGTTTTATTTTATGCAACACAAATTAAAGGGAAATCATGAAAGCGAAACTTGTGAAAAGGTGACATGTAATATTTTATGTAAAATAAATTTGAAAAAAGAGTGCTGAATTGTAAGGTTATTTTCCACGAAATGTTTTACATGACGTGTACTTCATATGAAATGCAATTTGCATCAATGCCATCTACTATGTTCAAAATATTAGAGGGCCTCCGTAGCAGATATTGCACCAGGCCACAAGTTTTGTAAATCGGGCCTTGGGCTTCGCATTGAAAATTTTCAACATGATAGATGTCAGTGATGCGAATTACGCAAATCTTTTCATAAAATTCGGTATTTTTCATTAAAAGTCCTTTTAATAAAAAGTATGTTTTTCGCGTAAGCTTTGTTTTCGTTGTAGTTTATTCCATGTTGCATTAAACATTTTAAACCAGGACCTTACATTACATGTTGCATTAAACATTTTAAACCAGGACCTTACATTTATGCAAGCACGCGAAGGAACTTAAAGACTCCCATTAATTTTACTACAAGCATTAACTTATTAAATTACAGATATTATAACAGTAAATGCATTTAAACTGTTTATACTAAAATACAACCGTAGAGTTATGTGTGTGTGTGAGATTATGGCAAAGCCTCGAGGGCTATCTGCCTAAGATGAGGGATGCCTTCGTGGAGGACTTTCTAAGGGAAACTGGCTCGTATACACGTTACACATGGGGAAAACCACGAAAACGCCCATGCAGCCAGCCCGTTCGCGGGATTCGAACCTCGGACCGAACTACCAGTATTCAGCGATTTTACCGCTCGGCCGCTGGTGGGCCCCAACCGTAGAGTTAAAAAATCAGTTTCTTTTCATCGAGATTTTACTGAAAGTCATTGTTTGAGAATGAAAGTGAACAGCAACGGTCTCTGATAGTTGAAGGAAAACATGTGAAAAATTAAAATACGGAGTCTTAAATTTTGTTCTAACCTCTAGTTTAACATTTGAAAATCTAGAGCAGGAAACATATATAGCATTTTTATATAGCTTATATACTCTAGAAGGATTTGGCGGCTCTATGAAAATGGAAATGCTCCATTTGCCCTTGTGTTAATCAACTTCTGACAGTTAGTGTCAACAGCAGAATTTTCACAAATATTTGGGTAACACGATCGTCCTATCTCAACGTCATTCTGTGAAAAATGTGTTAGGTAACAAGACGTAGGAACTAGGCAACCGAAGCTTGAAGATAAGCCATGAGCCACGGGATCAATTATAGAAAAAAACATTATGGACAATGGGAATAGTCCACGGCTACCATGGGCCATGGGATGTGCAAACCAAGCCCTGAAACTTCAGTCTTCGAGTCTTAGACTCGAAGACTGAAGATTGCCGCTGTGACTCTGCTAAGTTACCAAATGTACGTAATGATTCACTGGAGCATGATTAATGGAAGACGTAAGGCGTTTCTATCTTCCATTAATTATGTGCTTCGTAAAGCAACTGTACATAATGAAGTATATATATATATATGTTTTATGTACCGTAATGCATCGAATATGAATGGAAGGCATTTCTGTCCATTATTCTGTAGCGTGTTTCAAAAAGAGTATGCGTATTTCGAATGCATGTATTTATTAAACTGTATGACATACGAATATAAAACTTAACACACATATGTACGAAACTCTCAAGTTCAGATTACAGATGTTACAGATGTTCAATATGTCTTCCATCAGCGAAACGAACAATATCACAATTCCTCCCATACTCGGGCAAGCATGTCCGTCGTCACTGAGGTTATAGAAGTACGAATGCGGGTTCTTCACCTCTTCCAGGTTCTGTGGGAGTGGTGGTACATTAACGTTGTCTTTAATGAAATCCCACAGGAAGAAGTCACAGGGTGTCAAATACGGTGACCGAGGAGACCAGCTGAGACATGCTAAGTCGCCAGCTCCTTGACGACCAATCCAATGATTCGGTAGAGTTTCATTCAGATAATTACGCACTTGGTGACACTAGTGAGGGGGTGCACCGTCTTTTGAAAAATGAAGTTGTCTTCGTGCAACCTCGGAAACAACCAGTTTTGTAACATAGCGAGATACTGCTGACCGTTAACGTGTTTCCATCAAAGAAGAATGGGCCGTAAACAGATGATCGGGATATCGCACAAAACACATTGATTTTGGGCGAATCTCGTACATATTCAATGGCTGCATGTGGGTTATGTAGGCCCCAAATTCGAATATTGTGTTTGTTTACATGACCACTAACTTGAAAAGTCGCTTCATCATTGAATACGATGCGTTGTGCGAAAGTGTTATCATTGTCAATAGCATCAGTAATTTCGTTACAAAATCCCACACGTTTGCGTTTGTCACAAGGACGCAGAGCCTATAACAAATGTAACTTGTACAGCTTCATAACCAACCGACGTCTCAAAACACTCCAAATTGTTGTTGCAGGTAGTTGTAACTCCCGACTGGCACGAGAGTTGATTTTGAAGAACTACGTTCACTTTGAATTCGTGCAACATTTCCGTTGGGAACACGAGGGCGGCCAGGACTCTTTCCTTTATATACGCATCCTGTATTTACAATCTGTCGATACCATCTGCGAGTGTTCATCTATTCGGAAGATCACTTTGGTACCTCAACTTGAAACGTCTTTGCACTATAATCACGGAATTGCACTTCGCAAAGTCGAGAACACAAAATGATTTTTGCTGCGGACTATCCATTTTAAACAATGTGACGGTTACTACACAAAACAGAAGACAACTGACATCTAGCGGCTATTAATATAAACTAGACTATGTATTCGTTTCGCCAATATCCGAGCCGAGGCACAGTAATCGATAGTTTGGACAAAATAACACTTTGTAATATGTAGATTCTTTCTGAAACACGGATGGCACAAGAAACCAGAAATGTTTACATGCGCCCAAACATATGGTTGGTTGCACTGAGACAGCTTCCATACCAATACAGGTTATCTTGAAACACAAATTTAAAACAACAAACAGCTAAGTTATAAAATCTAAACTGATAACCGCTTAGATGAATAACAAAAGAAAAAAAAATTCTGATGTGTACACCACATGATTTCATCATACGGAATATTAAATTTTACGCATTTTTCTTGCATTTCATTTAAACTTATTGGATTGAATTAAATCTACTTCGTCGACAGCGCATAAACCACAATAGAATAAATGCACTCTTTAAAATTCACTATATTTGTTTACCATAGCGACACTCTGGCACTAGGTTCACTTAATATTTCGTTCATATTATAACTCAGAATGCACAAAATTTATATCATTTGAAGAATATCTTATCATAACCACATGTTCTATTCAAATACTATAATAAAGCTAGAACGATGTATAAAAGAAATTAAGCAAACAAAACAAAAATGAAACTTTTCGCAGACGATTTAGTATTTCTCATTCAATTAATTCAGTTCTCACTTAGCGGCAAGGCAAAAATACACAAAAACTCAAAATGTCTGTATTAAAAATTACGAAGTAAATCTTAAACACTTATTAAAAAATGCCAGAAATTATTAAGCATGATTTAATTCGCAATAATAAATGAAGGCTTTATTTTTGTTGTTGCGAAGCTTAGTCTCTCTAGACTGGCAACAAATCTACTATTCTGCTGTTTCAAATGTAAACAAATATGTCCGCTATGTTTTTTGAAACTTAACCGCATTTGAGAACAGCTTTAAAATTGTTGATAATTGTACAAATATTGCTTCCAGATTTACGAAAGGCATAAAAACCTTAACCAGAAGATAAGAACAACATAATTCAATCATTTATAAAGCCAAAAACTTACAATTTACAAACATATAAAAGTAAAGAAACTGAGATCACTATGCCGAGTAACAGTGGATATATATACTCGTATATAAATATATTTATATACGTTTGGTGCGGCCGATTGCAACCAAAATACGAGGTGCACATCTACATGTTATAGCAGTCCTATACACAAAATTTCAACGTTCTGAGGCTACTCATTTTTGAGTTATGCGAGATACGTACGTACGTACATACATACGTTCGTAAAGACGCCACGAAAATTTCTCTTCAGAAATCATTTTAATGCAGTTTTACATTTTTTTGGAGGAAAAGAAAGAGTCTTTTATTCTGTTCTTACGTTCAGATGTCACGCAAAAACATCGTTAAATTGCATTCGATAGCGGTCAAAATGGATATTTTCGTTGAAATATGCTGCCTGAAACTTTTCGCGATTACAATACTTCTTTGTACTTCGTACAAGGAATTAAACAATTTGAAAGCTTTGATTTTATATTATGCCCAAAAGGGCGTTTTGCTAACGTTTTGTGTGTTACCTTTATTTACTAAATATCATATTCTTCTGACTTACCACGTAAAACTCAATTCAACAGCAATACCACGAAATATTTTAAAACAGTAAAACATCATTTCTTTAGAATTTCTAGTCTCGCGCGCTGGAGATAAAAATGTTTTTTCCCGTACATTGTTGCCAATGCTCGCTTTGAAATCGCTGATTTTATTAATCAAAAATTCGCTAAAGTTTTACAAAATTTGAAGTAGTTAATAAAACAAATTTGAAATTTAAAATTCGGGCTTTCAAATGCCCATGTTCGGTTGGAGGACTACGCTATTCAAAATTGGATTTCTCTAGGTACCGTTGTTTTTTCACAATACTAGAAACATTCCTTCATTAGATTCTTCATTATTTAGTTTCTTTAAATATATTTTATGGCGATAATATTGGGTGGCAACAATTTGAAAAGTGAAAGTGAAACGACGCAAAATGCCGTTTTGAGACTAATAGCCCTTTGGGTCTAACGCCTCTTTGGGCTAATAATATCCATCAAAAGATGAGACACATTAAAAATAAACAATAATAAAAACTAAATCAAATTAAATAATAAAGATTAGTTTCTTTCAGGTGCTGAAATAAATTATTACCTCTTTTCCAATTAAACGGTCAAGAGGCAAGTCAGACTCGTCAGCATGCTTTAATCTAAGTCTACTAAAATTCGGATACTCAATTAAAACATGATGTTAAGACAGAATATTATCACAGTTGGGACAAACTAGCTCACTTTCCGTTTTCAGAATATATTTGTGGCTGTTTCGAGTGTGAGTTAACAGGACTTCTTCCTTCCGGTTTCTAGTAATTTTTCAAAATGTTACTCTAGGTTTCATGCTCATTTAATTTATTATTTAATTGTGCATCGACATGGAGAACAAAGAATTAAAAAACTGCAGTTTTGAGGAGAGTTAGTGTTTTAATGCTAACTCTATTCGAAGAACTTCAAACTTTTCTAGATTGATGACGACAAGATTAAAAAAACAACTCAAGGTTAGACTGTGCGCATTATATTAATAGCGTATGAGAAATATTTTTATTAATTAAATTGATGGCTTAAGTAATAATAAAAATTATCAATTCTAGAAATTAAAAATCCCATAAATTAGATGTAAAATAAATCGCGCCAGTTAAAGATATTATTATCTGTTAAAACAAACAGTTAAAGATATTATTAGCTGTTAATAGTTTTTAATAAACGCTTACACTGCTTTTAAATCAGTCAGTGAGTCAAAGAATGCATGCATGGTTCTTGATTCAAAAAAACGAATGGAAAATTTGAAAGATAATCTTGTGAGATGCCGAGTCAAAAAAGCACTAAAAATTTGCAGTTTGAGAAGAGCAGCCTTCTCCAGGCCTTTGGATGATGCATGTTTCAGTACAATGTGATGTAATAATAATAAAAAATGGAAAATAGATGTTTACAATATCATAATAAAGACATTAATTATTTTTTAAATCATTAATATTAGACGGGAAGTTGATTTTCCAACTGCGTCTTAAATAATATACTCACCTCTGTCATCAAATCCGTGAGTTATTTCATGGCCTATGACGAAACCTATGGCTCCAAAATTCAAATAACTGTGAAAGAAAGAATTTCATCTGTTAATAATTCAGTTTCATATGTGATGAGTCTTAATTTCTTTTTGTGCACTTTTGTTTTCTATTGCAAAACACCCATGTGCAGAATAACGTAGTATAATAAAAGTCATCAGTAATTGCACAGTACAATAAAAGTTAGATAATCCGATAATACCGATTTCAAGCAATTAAATTAGCACTTCTGACAAATATATATCGTAATTTTCACCAAAGCCCCGTTTCTGAATTTCATCTAGATATTCGTAAAACTGAAAATATTTATAAATGGTTTAACAATCTGAGATAAAATTCAGAAACGTGGTTCTGCTGAAACTTCTTCTGCTGTTTGAAAAAGATCAAGGAATTTTCAACAGTGTTTTACACATTTTATATTTTTTATCATTTTAAAAAGTTTTAAAAATGTTATTGAATTATTTTTGGTTCTATTTTGAAATATTTCATTTTTTGTTTGTGTATAGATGTCTTTGAATGCGCAGTCGAATGCTGGAACTCTTAACAGCTTTCGATGTCTGTCATGGTTGTGGTTAAGGCATAGAGATAAAGGCAACAAAGCTATGATTGGTTTATATTAGTTTTAGTTGTCTTTTTACGGTGGCGTTACATAACATAGAAAAATCTCGAATTTGGGAGAACAGATGAATTTAGAAGGAGATCCCCAAATCTAGAATGCTAATTTTGAGGTAGCCAATTATTTTTAAAGCAGCTATCGCATTTTATTATATCTTACATATATACACGAAAACTCAAAAGAGAGTTTTAAAAGAATTCTTGAAATAAAGTTTATGAAATAGCTGAGAGACAAATCTGCATTACACTTTTTGTAGTCTTCAGAGTGAGTAAATGAGAGAAAAGAAAATTAAAAGCGTACTTAGGTCTATCTTTATTGAAGAAGACTCCTTGTAAGATACCGGCTGGGAATTCTGAAAAGTGTATAAAAATATTCAGTTTATAGACTGAAAAAATATACTCAGTTAATATAATCACTTAAGTAAAAATTAACTCACCTATGCTGTTCTCAATAGAATTGTAGAAAGCGTTCACAACTGCTGCTGCTGACCGCTTTTTCCAACTAAAAATACACAACAGAATCTTAATATTGAATGTGCTTAACACTGAAGATAAAACTGAAATTCGCAGACACCGATAAAATAGGATTACATTATGTAAATTAAAGTATCTAAGGGGAAGTATCCAAGGGAAGGAATGGTTTCATGGAGGAATTTGTAGAGGAAACTGGCTCGTATCCCCGTTACATATGAGCAACAGGATTTAAAGGGTCCTTTTTAAAATATATTCACCTGAATATAACTTTAAAATTAATTCAGTAAATAACAATTAAAATTTTTATATTTACAGAAATATCACTAGGAGTTAATATTTTTTAAATAATTTTTTTACTTTTAAACTACACAAATTGTGAACCATACTTCTAAAATGAAAATTAGAGTGAGATTTATTGGGCAAATTATAAGAATGTGTGTAAGGAAACCTAAAACCGCTGTTTAACCATAAGCGAACAGGTTGGTTTCGTTTAATTCATTTAGTTATGGCAAATCATTTAATGGCTATTTGCTGTCCAAAGGAAGGGATGCCTCAGTGGAGGATTTTTCTAGGGGAAACTGGCTCGTATACACGTCACATATGGGAAAAGTCCCGAACATGTCCATACAGCCAATCCGTTCGCCAGGATTAGAACTCCGGATGAAACTGCTAATGGTCAGCAACTTTACAGCTCAGCCACTGGGGAGCCGATAAGCCAGCAAGAATCAGAATGCAGGTAAGATCCAGTTGAGATGGTTAGACGACGCCTAAAATGATTTTAAACTTGAAATTATACTAAGAAGTCATAACCAAAAGAAAAACACACTGAAAGTACGCTCCGAACAAGACGTTGTACAAATTTTAACTCTTCTGTTGGTGATGATTATAAATCAAAAAACAAATTATACAGGCCTTGTAAATGGATTTTTCTAATAGATGCCAGTAAAACAAGAAAATGCAATATATCTTATATAATGAAATGCATAAAGGGCAAAATGGAAACTTTTATGTTTTAATACATAGAGAAGGTACGCTGTTTTCTATATGATATATAAATATATTACGCTATGTTTTCTGTAGCCGAAAGTCAAATAAATAACTTTATGGTTTCAATATCAGAAAATATTAAATATACTACATTTTAACTGTAGGCATAATTTTCTTTTCAGTTTTTTATATTGTTAATGAAGTTTTAAGACGGAATACACAAAAGCATAAGATCTGAAGAAAACATCCTTAGTGCTTTTTAGTCTTCATCTTACATACCTTCGTACATATTTTAATATATTCATAGAATAATCTACCTCTTTAATATGCAGTATCTACCAATAAGTATTTGGACACATCTGATAGAAAGAAAAACAAAATTTATTCATATTCAATAGTTGGTGGAACCTCCACGAGCGGCATTAACTCTGAGGGGCATGCTTTCCAGTCCTTGTACTATGACAGCTATTGGCATTTTCTCCCACTTGGCTTGAAGAAGACTTATAAGTTCCTTCACCAATATTAGACGGTTGTTGCACACCTGAAATCGGGGATCGAACTCATTCCAGGGATTCTCGATAGGGTCCGGGCTCTGGGCAGGCCAGTCCATTCAGTTAACTCCATTGCCAAAATACCAAACCATGGTGGACTTCGCAACATGAAAGCTGGCGTTGTCGTCCTGAAAGTAAGATGGATCCAACCCGTAAAACTGATACAACGTAGGAAGCGCACTCTCATCATAAATAATGCTATCGGCGTCAGCAATGAGCTTACCATTAATTTAGATCAAGGGTCATGGCCCATATCAAGAGAAACAGCCCCAGACTATAATTTCCTCCCCGCCGAGCTTTACTGTAGGCACAATGCATTCCGGCTGGAGGCGATCTCCAGGCAGACGCCAGATCCAGACACTCTCATCCAAACAGTGGAGGGGGAATCTTGATTAGTCGCTCCAGAGAACCCATTTCCACTAATCTACGGTCCACTGTCGATGTGCTTTGTACCACATTAACCAAGAAGCGCGGTTGGACTTATGTGTGGCAGCACGACTATGGAAACCAAACAGATATGCTTCCTCGTTGATGGTTCTCATCGAAACAATACTCTAGGATGCCTGTTGAAACTCTTGGAGCATATGGGCCACCGGTTGGGTGTGATTCTTCCGAATTTCTCAGGACAGCACCTGTCGGTCTCTATCTCCCAGTTTCTTGGGTTTGCAGGTCTCGATCTGCAGGTCTACAGGAGTCTGAAGGACTCGGGGTACATTCCGACAATCATTGCTCTCCTGTCGCTTCTGAATCATGTAGGCCACTGTTGATTTTGGATAATTCAGTTCGTTAGATAGCTCTTTACGGATCGGCCTTTCTGTGATACCTGACGCTTACACGTTTCTCGAAATCAGGTAACTGCACTTCGTAGCATTTTGCATGTGATTAATGTCAATGCTGTTTCCTCTACGATAGTACACAGCGGAGGGTATGACGTTTATCAGGATAGCAGATATCCGCATTTGCATGGGTGTCCAACTGAATTCAATACCTGTTACCTATTACTGGTACCAGCACCTATTGGCTAGAATACTTATTGGATCAGTACTTATTATACTACCTATTGGATCAGTACCTATTAGACTACCTTTTGGATCAATACCTATTTAATGTATTCTGGATTGCTTAGTGGAAATTCATTCCTTGGACCATTTTGTATTCATTCCATTGTTACGATTTACTGAATGTCTAAAACTATTTTACCTATAAAATATGGATTTTCCTTTATAGAACAGAAAATATTTCCCGAGTATCAAGTCTGGAGAATATGAAGGATGATTAAGAATACATTTATTTGCATTGAAAGAAATTGCTTCGTGCCAGGGAAACATTTTTTCTTTTCATTATTTAGTCACTGGATCTGTAACAGTTATTATAGGTTCATAAAACCAGACAAAATATTTCATTCAAATTTCTTGTTGCAAGAGGATATTTTTATGAATGCAAGAAACATGAGGAGTTCGTTACTCTTAACGTTAGTTACCGTTCGGTAACTTCAGTGCGATTAATGGAGGCACACTGTGTCTGTCTAATAGACCAGGAAGGAATGCCATCGCGCATTATTTTAACTGGAGTATTTTCCTCCAAGTACATGAATTACTAAGTACATGAATAAGTACATTTCCTCTAAGTACATGAATATTAGATTACTCGAAGCTTTATATAAAAATTTATTAAATATGATAATATAAATAAATAGAAAATGTGATATTTCAGTATACAAAAGTCATTCGAAATACTTACTCTCCTTTAACGTTAGGTTTACGAAGCTTCGACAGTACGTAGTCCGTTGCCCACTTCCGCAAAATTCGAACATTTTCGAAATAACTTGAAGAATTCAGCATAAGCTGGAAAAGCAGAAAGAAAATTAAGAATTTAAATTTAGTTTGCATTATTTGATATTCTATATCATGCATCATTTAAACTCTGGTTTTCTAGAGAAAATTAGTAGCAAGATTTTACATTAAAACGGAGAAGGCTAACTGCAGGCAGGTGAAGTTAGTTTTTAATGCCTTCAATAAGTTTTACAAATTTTATTATCATTACGATAAAAGAATATTAGACTGACAAACTCGGGACTTCTGTAATGCCAAATTAGTATAAATTATTTAGAATTATGGGACTTATCAAGCCAATACTGCAAAAGAATTCTGTAAATAAAATTTAACCTGTTGTAAGAACAGAAAAAATTACCGACAACCCACCAGCGGCCTAACGGTAAAGTCGCTGAACGAGTCAATTTTCCTTAGAAAGTTTCCCATGAAGGCATCCTTCCTCGTAGGCAAATAGCCTTCAAATCCTTTGCCATAATCAAATAAACCAAACCAATCTCTAGATTGGTTTGGTTTATTTAACGTAAGAGAAGGTTATTTGACATACGAGTTATTTATTTGATATTTGTAGAGAATAACTCTACCAATTCATTTAATGACTGAATATGTACTGTAAGATAAACTAAAGATTATGTATAATTCTTAATCAGTCTACAGTTTCGAATCTACCTTACTACTGCTGCATGTAGACTCAAGTTCTTCTAGGTTTTTTTCACTTATTTATAACGTGCTGTACGGATAGGAGGGATACCCTGTGGAAGACGTTTTAAGGGAAATGGCTTGTATTCATGTTACTTGTGGTATAAAACACGAAAACGCCCATACAGCCAGCCCACTCGCCGGATCTCGACCTCCAGAACGAACTGCCAGTGATCAGTGGCTTTTACCGCTCAGTTGCAGGTGGACTTTCTTTTAAGTTAGGTTAAATTATTTGATTATGGCTAACCACACACAAGAGCTATCTTGCTTAAGGGGAGGGATGCTTTCATAAAGGACTTTATAAGAAAAATTGGCTTGTAAGAACCTTGTTTTATTGTAAACAACTGTTTTTAATTTCAGAAACTTTCCTTTCATTTCTGATTTCAGTTTCCTGCCAGAATGCAAATTTTAATGAAGTAGTATGCAAATCTAAGTGGTTTCGGAATCAGTATTTAAGCAGCGGTTTTAAGAGTTTGTAGTCGGAGAGTTAGTTCCAAATTTTTGCCGCGTGTTTGAAGTAGCTTTGTACGTGAATAGTTGGTGCTCAGCCACTCTCTTTAGATTATATTGATATAGGTACGCCTTTAATGTGTGCAGCTCATTTAGTGGTTTAAGATAAATAAGGAGCCAGTCGTATAGTCCATCTTACTTTATTGTGATTCTACATCTTATTTTTCTGTTAAGTTACTTAGCCACCAGTGGTGTTAGATTCTGAACACCGAGCGAGCGCACTTTTATTAAGCTCAAATAAAAAGGTTATTTAAACCTTCTTCTGCAGTCATCTGTTCTTCCAAGGCCTATCGAGAATTCGCTACTCGGTCTTTTCAGCTAGGGTCTATGATTCCCAAACGTACTAAAATACTCTACAGGCTCCTGTTCACACGGAAAAAATACCGAAAATTAATCGTATAGCCAGCCCGTTTGCCTGAGTTCGAACGCGGTCGAACTACCAGCATCATCTGTCTTAACCATTCGACTACTGACAGGGCCCCTTCAAAGTTTTCAAAAGAATCATTAAAAAGAATACGAAGATTTATTACTTCTCTACGTCTTCGTAGTTATTAGGCTGTATTTAATCTGCCGGCAGCTTTGTACAGAGTAATAAAATTAAACATTCTTCCTCATCATTCATTATTTTTAACACCAGCTGGTTCTTTGGCTTCCTTAATTGATTCAGTAAATTTCATCTTCAGAATGTGTGGCGCGGGAAAATTCCGATGGAAAACTTTGGATTGAATTCAGCAGTTTAGAGCGGTTACTCACAGGAATATCAATAATTTCGTTATCTTCCATAAAATTTTGCTTTACAAAATTCAACGACGTTGACGCTGGCCCGAAAAAAATGCCAAAAGCTTTCTGATTTCCGCAAACTATTATACGCAAATTTCGAAAACATTACTCATGTTTTCGGTGTTCAAAATGAAACAGCAACATAAAGATAATTTGGAATAATAATAATAATAATAATAATTGGAAGAAGAAAACCAATTTTTTTCTTCTATTGACCCAAATGAATGATGATAGTCCATTCAAGTTTAATTAACGACAATAACATATAGGGAATTTCTTTTAAGTTAGTAACATTGCACAAGCTGCTGTAACAAGATAATTTTACCTATAAAATCAAAAGGAATTTACATGCAATTTTAATGAAAGAATAAAAGTGTCACAGACAACGTGAAAACATCGCTTTACATTTCAAAACAAAATTTGCATGAATCGCATAACAAAGAGCTGACGCTTGAAACAAGGAGGTCTATTAGTTTAAAGTCATACATTTATTATTTATCTAAACAAAGAGTTTGCGTCATTCAATTTCTGTCAAAAGAAATGAACATGTTTAAAAAGAAAAGATTGCATCTAAAGAATTTGTAAACATTCCTCGTTTGTTATTTCGCTCAGATTTAAGATTTTAACCAAACTGCTTATTTAATAATCTCGTTCTCACATGTAAATGTGCATTTAAATCATGACATTTATATCTCCTTAGATATGCCAGGGCGCGGCAAACTGTTTTTGGAAAGGACAAACGATTTTGGCTCCGCTAGCCAGGTTGCAGAATTGAAGATATTTATGTGTAATTCTACTCATACAGCGAAAATAAATAAGCAAATATACACGGGCTCAAAAGATTTTGTTAAGTAATCATATTTGAAATCGTTGAGTTGTTAATCAAAAATTCGTTAAGTTTTACAAAATATGAAATGGATAGTAAAACAAATTTCAAATATGAAATATGGGCTTCCAGATGCAAGTGGAGGACTAAGTTATTCAAAATTTGATGTCTCTAGGTACCGTCGTTTCTTCACAGCGCGAGAAACATACATGCATTCATGCAGATTTTTCATTATTTAATTTCTTTAAATATAATGTAGGGCTTTAATATTTGGTGGTAACAATTTGAAAAAATAAACGCCGTTTATAGTGAATCAACACAAAATTCCAAAATGAAATGAATAGCCCTTCTGGACAAATTGTCTCTTTGGGCTAATAATATTTATACATATTTTGCTGATACTTAGTAAAAAACTGAATAAAATACTTTTATTTATTAATGTGTAACAGAATATACGTTAAATTTTGTATTGATGCGATGAAATTTTCCTGAGTTCTTATTACATCACTTGAAGCTTGAAGTTAGTGTTTCTATCAATAAAGTTATTCGCAAATGATTATCGGTTTAAAACAATCAGTTTTGCGATTTTACTAACTTCTTTTTCGAAAATGTCTTTTGACATTGGTAATTACACCCAAATATAGATATAAACCCCGTGAATATGCTTTTAATTGACTGTATTTATCTTACAAAAGATATTGATAAAACTGGGTTAGATCCATTTCTTTCATTCGGTAAAAGATTTTCCTTTCATGGCTAATAAAGGATTTATCCCTGACTTTAGTTAGAGCTTCATTATCTTTTTTTATTTCCTTGTCCAAAGCAAAGGATGTATTGTAATCGCAAAAAATTTCGGGTATAAGATTTCAACAGAAATATCCATTTTGACAGTTTCCGAAACCATTTGAAGATTTCGTTGCGTGATGTGTGTAGGTACGGTCAGAATAAAGAACTTTTTTTCACAATTTATAACCAAAACGGGTTGTAAAACGGGATTTAAAATGGATTAAAAAAGGATTTTTCGTGATGCCTGTGAGAACGTGCGTTATGTATGTATCCCGCCTAATCAAAAACTATTATCCGTAGAACGTGGAAATTTTGTATATCGGACTGATATAACATCAAGTTCTGCACTCCTGTTTTTATAGCAATTGACAGAAACAAACGTATATTTATATATATACGTTTCCCACCTCCTTACTCGGCTACTTACTGGCCTTTATTCGCAATCGTTGGTGGCAATCATATACTTCTAATTACAGAAGTGTTTAAAATGACGCAAATATTTATGTTTTGGCACTGTCAAATTCTTTTAAAAAAATCTGATGTGTACACCACATGACTTCCTTGTACGGAATATTAAATTATACGCATTTTTTCTTGCATTTCGTTTAAACTTATTGAATTGAATTAAATTTACTTCCCCGACAGCGCATAAACCACAATAGAATAAATGCATTCTTTAAAATTCACTCTATTTGTTTACCATAGCAACACTCTGACGCTAAGTTCACTTAACAGTATTATATAACGTTCATATTATAACTTAGAATGAATAAAATTTATATCATTTAAAGAATTATCTAATCGTTGCCACATGTTCTGTTCAAATACTATAATAAAGCTAGAACGATGTATAAAAGAAATTAAGCAAACAAAACAAAAAAGAAACAGTTTTTCACAGACGATTGAGTATTTCTCATTCAATTAATTCAGTTTTCACTTCGCGACAAGGCAAAAATACATAAAAACTCAAAATATCTGTATTAAAAATTACGAAGTAAATTTTAAACACTTATTTCCTCGAAAAATTCCAGAATGGATTAAGCATGATTTAATTCGAAATAATAAGAAAAGGCGTTATCTTTGTTGTTGCGAAGTTTAGTTTCTTTAGATTGGCAACAAATCCGTTATTTTGCCAAGTTTCAAATGTAAACAAGCAATGGCCGCCATCAAAAACATTACTAGGCTTAGCGGCACTTAAACAACTTTAAAATTGTTGATAATTCTAAAATTATTGCATACAGATTTACGAAAGGCATAAAAACCTCAACCGGAAGATAAGAACAACATAATTCAATCATTTTTAAAGCAAAAATGTACAATTTACAAACATATAAAAGTAAAGAAACTGAGATCACTGAGCCGGGTAACAGAGTGGATATATATATAAATATATTTATATACGTTTGGCGCGGCC